TGTTTAACCTTATTTTAATTGTCAATTTGAAGTTTGCACTGTGTTAACTGTCTTAATTTTTTTGTGTTTCTCATTTCTGTAGACATCAGCGAATTGAACCTGCCAAAAACTTGTGGCATTGTATTTCCCAATGGCAAGGATGACTTAATGAACTTGAGGTTACTATTAGACCCGATGAAGGATATTATCTGTAAGTATACCTTGCCCATCAGTCTTCCTTTCATTATTTTTTTCTTCAGATATCTACTGTCTGATCATAAAGGATTTGTTATTTGAAGCAGAACTTCTATATCAGGATTGAGAACCTATAAGAATTTTATATTGTGGGCACAATTAGTTTTTAATGTGCTGTAGGTTTTGACAATCAGGTATGTCTTGTGTCAAATAACGGTGCTGGAGAGTGCATTCAGGGGCCTAAAAACCAGATTTTTCCTCCATATGAGCACAATCTTTATCTCCTAGGAAAATTCTTGGTCTGAATTATCTTGCTATATTGTTATAAGTTGAGTCCAACTTTGCAAGTGACAGATACTTACCTAGTTTTTTTATTTTGTTGCAGAGGTGGTACATTTTTGTTCTCTTTTCAAGTGTCCCCCATCTACCCATGAGCACCAAAGGTGAAGTGCAAGACAAAGGTAACTAATCTAATCTTTTAGTTCCTGTTCATTCTTTATTGTTTCAACAATGTTGCCTGTTTGCTAGGCACATGTGAAAGGCACTTATAATTGTGGATTGAATTTGCAGGTGTACCACCTAATATCGACTTGGAGGGAAATGTTTGCCTAACATTCTAAGAGAAGATTGGAAACCTGTTGAACATAAACACTATTAATATGGACTGTTTCATCTTTTTACGGTATTGATTCTATTCACAACTAGTTCCTGTAACTAATTTGTTTGCATTCTACTTAAGATAGATTTGTGTGCAGCAACCCAACTGTGAGGATCCCCTCAATCACGAAGCGGCTGCTGTTTTAAGGGATAACCCGAAACTGTTTGAATCCAATGTTAGAAGGGCAATGGCTGGTGGATATGTGGGGCAAACCTTCTTCACTAGATGCATGTAGATGCTTCTTGTGTTGAAAAACACTAAATTTACTTTAAATTGGGGCTGTATATTTGGTCGCAAGGGTTCTTCTTCCATTCTTGTGTGCTGTTGTGACAAATTCTCAGAATCATGCAAAGCACACAGAAGATGTTTGTAATGTGCTGTAACTTTGTGACATGTTGTGATATTGGCCGGGGACAACATTATTTTTCTTTATTTTGATGTGAATCAATGGGAGAAGCTCTAGACTGGGGAACTCTAGTCAGTGTATTTCCTTTTATTTTTATGGGGTGAAGAAGCATGCTTTCCTTTCTATATTGATGCCAAGAAAATATATGTTTCTGGTTTTGTGGCATCTCTCTCTTTCTTTCTTTTCCTGTTCTGACTATGAGTATATGACATTTCTTCCAAACACAATCTTAGCTTATAGCATCCGAGCTTCAACATGAGTTAACATAGAACACAACCACAATTTATTGATAATGAAGTAAATAGAAATACTACCACAAAAATTTGAAGGTATGTACGAAATAAATTCAAAGATTTGAACTGAGAAGACCTTCATAATCAACTCAAAATGGGAATTAACATTTATATTAAAGGTACAAACTGAAAAATGCTAGGCTCTCCCTCAACTATCTAAAATCTATAAACAGATGTAACAGAAGATGATCGCGGCAGAACAAAACTGAACTGTGTATGTGCAATCACAAAAGAACAATGGTGAGATGGAACATAAATGTGGACTTGGAAGGGCTACTGAGGCTGTCACTAGGATGGGCAAACCTCTTGACAATTGCTGCCATGTACTTCCCTGATGCTCAGCTAGAGCCAACTCTGTTTCACTTGGTTCTCTTGAGCCATCACCAGAAAAAACTCCTGACCATATGGAGACCCTTCTTTAGTGAGTCCATTTTGAACATCCAGCACCAAGGTGTAACCGATGGGAACATAGAGCATCCCGTGGTGGGCTAACTGAGTGATTGCTGTCCAGCTGCAATATGAACATGACAAATTATTTGGATTGAAATGTCGAAACAGCCATAGCATAAAAGGAAAGTTCCCCAAACAGGTCACTCATTTTTTAACACTTTCACTGGTATACTGGTTTATAGTCTATGGTGGGGGTCCATCAATCATCAAGTCTGTCTGCAGATTTCTCAACTTACTGAATTCGGGCATGCAAAAGTGGCATGATTATGAATGCAACTTTAAGCACTGCAAAAAATCAAAAAGTTAGAACAATAACCTATACAATTTTTATTAGGTCTGGATGACAACCATAGCATTCTTAGACAAATAAACAGACCACACCAGTGATGACCTGAGTAAAGCTTACATTCCTCAAGTTGAAATCCTCAAAAAACAATTATGATAAGTCCCATTAATGAGAAGATTTTAAGGCTGTGCATAAAAATAAGAGTCTACAACACTAAGGAACTTTTGGTAGATGTTAATAAATCTGTTTCCAACCAACTCGTATTACAATGCTGTTAACAGTAACTACTGATAGTATAATATTCTTCTTACCTGAAAGAGTCATATTTGTCCGGTCGTGTCGCAGAATAAAGCTTAAAAGAAAGAATTGCATTCTCAAGCTTCACTAACATTGTCTTTATCTAGACACTAACAAGTTTGAGACATTGAGCACAGAAAACAAACAAACAGGGAATGAAACCTAGCCACAACATCTGGATACTGATCGAGAAGTGTTATAAAATTATACTCAATAGGATAAACAGTTTTCACCTAATTTTCATTTAACTAACTATCAAAACTTTTAGGAGACCTCAAGACCCTGCTTTGCCAGGAGAGAAACATAATAACCATTTATAACCTCAAGAAATCCACATGTTTTCATCTAAATACTACAAAGGATCATGAGATGTAACCAAGAGCTAACTTTAAGACTTTACAACCTCAATAGTTCTTAGACAAGTCGAAATTTCTGTCAATTTATTCTCCTCTCTCCATACAAGTAATTCAAAGACCTAAGTAGAATAATCGGCAAAAGATTTTTAACTATTTAAATAATTTCATGGAGCAATACATAATATTCATATATAAAGATTCTATCTCATTTTTTTTGTTTGATATTCATGACAGTATCAACATCTAACCACAACATCAAAATCACAATAAGACAGGTAACCTTGCAACTTAAAAATATGGGATATATGAATATAAATCTAATCTTTTTCCATGTTAATTCCAATTCACCTAATTCAACCAAAATGAATCAAAGCCATCAAGAACAGAATACTCAAACAAATATATCTTTTGGAAAAAAAGTACCTAATCAAACATCAGCTATCTAATATCACCAACAAAAAATTAAATAAATAAATAAAAAGTAAACAATGTACTTAGCGAGTAGTTTCTTGTCCACCACCCTGAGTCCCATACCACAAAGAAGCCAGCAGGCACGCCTGCAAGTCGTTGATTCTCCCACAACGGAAATGTAGAGTCAAAAAAGGTTCATTTGAGCCGCCATGGAGCCAAACCTAGTTGGGAACCCAAACAACAACCCATCAGCCAGAACCAACTCATCAACACTTATCACAGGCAATCATCACCCTTCTGAGGTACTCTCATCGCCCAAAATCTCCACTGGCAAAGTCTCAGGGATCTATACAAAACCCCTTAACTCCATCTATGGAGTCAACTCCTTTCTTATTCCTTCTCGCCAACAACTCTACATGGCCATACATGAGTAAAAACAATGAAAATTTTCAGCTTCTTGATTGCTTGTATGTCGTTGTTTTGAAGTGGGGTTGTTGTGTTTGTTGCTAGAAGTTGCTCTTGAACAAGATTAGGACCATCCCTATCTGGGTTTGGAGATCTTGATCATCTGGTAACTTTTTCTTACTTGGTACACACCCACCTCCTTTACCCATAAAAATTCAATCTTGAAAGGGAAATTTTCTTTTAGAACAAATTATCAATATGGGAAAGTAATAGAATTGAGTAAGGATTCTCGAATTCAAAGCTCTACTTCAAAAAAGAAAAAAAAAAAAAAACACAAAGAAAGTAGAATTATGAAAAAATGGTGTGAAAGGATTTAAAAAAGAAAAAGAGATTGTGAATTTTGTACAAGTTTGTATGAATGTTCTAAGCTATGCTATAAACAAGAAAAACAAAAAAAGGTGAAATGGAAATGGTAAATGGATGTTGGGTGTCTCTAAGAAGCCTGAGTTGACCTGGCTTTGCTTTTGAGCTGTAGTTAGTTTGAAAATGGCTGGCATGTCTGAAGAATCGTGTGTTGTTTTGTTCCACTAAACGTTGTCGTATCACCTGTTGACAACAAAAATCTTTACAAACCGCACCGTGTTGTTTAAACTAAATGGCGCCATCTCTATCAGAGTTTTGTCTTTGGCTACTTGGTGTTGTGTATCGCACTAGCACTTCACAAGATATACAAGTATTACAATTATGTTCCATTTTCGATTTCGATATCGTTACGATCCTATATCACTATTATTCTATTTTTTGATCATCACTCACCAAAACCTCTCAAATCTTACTCTCGTCACCAATCGCCGACAATCAAGCGATTAAGATTTACGCAACCGTCCATCCTAAGTTAAATTCAGATCAATTCTCACCACCAAAATCCAACATTCTATCATCAAAAGACTCATCGACCTTCTCTCTTCAAAAGCCCCAACAGTCTGGACCAAATTTGTTCTCTATTCGCAACCAGAATATAAATTTAGGTAATAAAATAGTATTTAAAAGTCTGTAAATGAGAAAGTGTCATTAAACCGTTATTTGGATGGGAAAAAATAATCAACTCTTTACAAAATCCGAAAACCATGATCAATTTTTCCATTGTCAACTTAGAATTTTATAATATTATCGGATTTGTCACAATCCGAAGGTAATAATATTTATTAAATTGACTCGTATTATGTTTTCAATGCAACAGTTTAGAAATCACATTGACATGTGGGAATGTAGATGAGAAATCTCATGAAAATATTCCAGTAATAAATGGTGATACATTACAGGATGAAGAATGAGTACATGACTCTGTTTGTTACACATTATAAAGAGAACTAGCAAACTCCACACATGCTAGTAAAAACAGGAAAAAACACGAGTACAGCACTCTGTTTTCACAGTTTGAATCACAAACTTGACAGATTTTACATTTCAGAGGCTCACATAGGACAGGAGGTGATATCATCGACCGGATCCGAATTTCAGAGCAGATGCTGAAATTGGTACTTTTACAATTGATATGCATTGAAATGCAAGTGTTATAGTTTCTTCAATGAGGCATTTTTAGATAATTTCTTCATTGAGCCACTTTCAGACCTCTTCAACTCCCACGGCGGTAGGCAGCCTTTGTAGTGAGAGTGCAGAAACAATGAAGATATTGAGACTTCCTTATGAGGCATTGAGATTGATGACCAGCAACTAAAGGCAGTTCTTAGTCTCTTCTTCTCACTTTCACATCCTTGGAAATTAGGGTCATGTTGCACAGTGGTAGATTTAAGGGCTTCGGGAAGTATGCAGTTGCATAGTGAACCTACAAGGAAGACACAAAAAAAAAAAAAAAATTAATGATCCAAGATAACGGCATTTAGAAGATGCAAAATTACGAGGTCTGTAAAACCATAGTTGGGGCATGTAACAACAATATATCTCATCAATACCCAAAACTAAACTTTCCTAAGTAGGTGCTGAGATACTTATAATCACATTCACTTTGAAGTTATATATATTACTAAATCTGGTAATAGTTAATAGACCAAAGCATGATGTATGGGTGGCCTCGAGTACTTCTGCAGGCTCATGAATTTCCATGGTTGATGAACTACCCTAAGTGCAAGCTTCATTTTCCTTGAGAAAATTAGGTAGAATACTATTCAGAGTACAGGATAAATTCTGTCACAAACTGGAGAGGTAACATGTAGCAATGACAGGGTTTCAATCATTCATTTCTTAAGTCCTGAAATGTCTAAGCGACATTGATCCAACAAATGCATGGTCCAAATATGTTGTGAAATGAAGAAAAGATACATGTCAAATACCTATTCTTGCAAGACGATTTACCCATTTTGGAATTGGGTTCCCTGTTAGCTTATAACATATATCCTCACAGAAATGGTTGCAGTTCTTAGCAATCAAATGATATGTATCACCATTGTAGTTTGCAGACTGGCGCTCCATGAACTCTCTAAGCTCAACAGGATCCAAGCATGTTGTTCCCATGAATACTGACTTTCTAAACCTGAAGCCAGGGCACTGTCGTGGTTCAACATCAAAGACACCACTTGTTTGGTAATCATGTGCTCCAAAGGCATATTCTACACCATGGACTGAGAAAATGAGTAGAAACAGTCAGAACCCACAAAATTTTGAGATTGCATGATTAAAGAAGAAAACACAGAGAGCAGATTAAACACTTCTAAGATAAATAGATTACTGATGAGAAGATTAATCTGGATTCCATACTTAGAATTATATGGTAAGAAGATTAATCTGGATTCCATGCCATACTTTTTGTGAAGAACATAGGTCTAGATGTGTGTGCGTGTGTTGCATGTGATACATGCATGCCTGCCGGAGAGCCCATAATTTTTCCTTAGGGATGGGGAGCATCCACTTTAGAGAGAAAAAAGTAAGGATGCTTTCCTAATAAATGTCTTTCATGACTACTGTGTGAAGCGGAACAGAAGCGGCTGCTGTTTAAGGATAACCGAAACTGTTTGAATCCAATGTTAGAAGGGCAATGGCTGGTGGATATGTGGGGCAAACTCTACTAGATGCATGTAGATGCTTCTTGTGTTGAAAAACACTAAATTTACTTTAATTCGGGGGCTGTATATTTGGTCGCAAGGGTTCTTCTTCCATTTCTTGTGTGCTGTTGTGACAAATTCTCAGAATCATGCAAAAGCAAACAGAAGATGTTTGTAATGCTGCTGTAACTTTGTGACATGTTTGTGTATTGGCCGGGGACAACATTATTTTTCTTTATTTTGATGTGAATCAATTGGGAGAAGCTCTAGCTGGGGAACTCTAGTCAGTGTATTTCCTTTTATTTTTATGGGGTGAAGAAGCATGCTTTCCTTTTATATTGATGCCAAGAAAATATATGTTTCTGGTTTTGTGCACTCTCCTTTCTTTCTTTTTTCCTGTTCGACTATGAAGTATATGACATTTCTTCCAAACACAATCTTAGCTTATAGCATCCGAGCTTCAACATGAGTTAACATAGAACACAACCCACAATTTATGATAATGAAGTAAATAGTAAATACTACCACACAAAAATTTTGAAGGTATGTACAGAAATAAATCAAAGATTTGAACTGAGAAGACCTTCATAATCAACTCAAAATGGAATTACATTTATATTAAAAGGTACAAACTGAAAAATGCTAGGCTCTCCTCAACTATCTAAAATCTATAAACAGATGATAACAGAAGATGATCGCGGCAGAACAAACTGAACATGTGTATGTGCAATCAACAAAGAACAATGGTGAGATGGAACATAAATGTGGACTTGAAGGGCTACTTGAGGCTGTCACTAGGATGGCAAACCTCTTGACAATTGCTGCCATGTACTTTCCCTGATGCTCAGCTAGAGCCAACTCTGTTTCACTTGGTTCTCTTGAGCCATCACCAGAAAAAACTCCTGCACCATATGGAGACCCTCCTCTTAGTGAGTCCATTTTGAACATTCCAGCACCAAAGGTGTAACCGATGGGAACATAGAGCATCCCGTGGGGGCTAACTGATGATTGCTGTCCAGCTGCAATATGAACATGACAAATTATTTGGATTGAAATGTCGAAACAGCCATAGCATAAAAAGGAAAGTTCCAAACAGGTCAACTCATTTTTAACACTTCACTGGTATACTGGTTTATAGTCTATGGTGGGAGGTCCCATCAATCATCAAGTCTGTCTGCAGATTTCTCAACTTACTGAATTCGGGCATGCAAAAGTGGCATGATTATGAATGCAACTTTAAGCACTTGCAAAAAATCAAAAAGTTTAGAACAATAAACCTATACAATTTTTATAGGTCTGGATGACAACCATAGCATCTTAGACAAATAAAAAGACCACACCAGTGATGACCTGAGGAAGCTTACATTCCTCAAGTTGAAATCCTCAAATAAACAATTATGATAAGTCCCATTAATGAGAAGATTTTAAGGTGTGGATAAAAATAAGAGTCTACAACACTAAGGAACTTTTGGTAGATGTTAATAAAATGTTTCCAACCCAACTCCGTATTTACAATGCTGTTAACAGTAACTACTGATAGTATAATATTTCTTCTTACCTGAAAGAGTCATATGTGGTTCGTGTGTCGCATGAAATAAAGCTTAAAGAAAGAATTGCATTCTCAAGCTTCACTAAACATTGTCTTTATCTAGACACTAACAAGTTTGAGAATTGAGCACAGAAAACAAACAAACAGGGAATGAAACCTAAGCCACAACATCTGGATACTGATCGAGAAGTGTTATAATTCATATTACTCAATAGGATAAACAGTTTTCACCTAATTTTCATTTAACTAACTATCAAATACTTTTAGGAGTACCTCAAGACCCTGCTTTGCCAGGAAGAGAACTCAGTAATAACCATTTATAACCTCAAGAAATCCACATTGTTTCATCTAAATACTACAAAGGAATCTGGATGTAACCAAGAGGCTAACTTTAAGACTTTACAACCTCAATGTTCTTAGACAAGTCGAAATTCTGTCAATTTATCTCCTCTCTCATACAAGTAATTCAAAGACCTAAGTAGAATAATCGGCAAAAGATTTTTCAACTATTTAAATAATTTCATGAGCAATACATAATATTCATATATAAAGATTCTATCTCATTTTTCTTGTTTGATATTCACTGACAGTCATCAACTCTAACCACAACATCAAAATCATCCAATAAAGACATGGTAACCTTGCAACTTAAAAAATAGGGATATATGAATATAAATCTAATCTTTTCCATGTTAAATTCCAATTCACCTAATTCAACCAAAATGAATCAAAGCCATCAAGAACAGAAACTCAAACAAATATATCTTTGGGAAAAAAAGTACCATAATCAAACATCAGCTATCTAATATCACCAACAAAAAATTAAATAAATAAATAAAAAGTAAACAATGTACTTACGCAGTAGTTTCTTGTCCACCACCCTGAGTCCCAGTACTCACAAAGAAGCCAGCAGGCACGCCTGCAAGTCGTTGATTCTCCACAACGGAAATGTAGAGTCAAAAAAGGTCTTCATTTGAGCCGCCATGGAGCCAAACCTAGTTGGGAACCCAAACAACAACCATCAGCCAGAACCAACTCATCAACACTTATCACAGGCAAATCATCACCCTTCTGAGGTACTCTCATCGCTCCAAAATCTCCACTGGCAAAGTCTCAGGGACTCTATACAAAACCCCTTCAACTCCATCTATGGAGTCAACTCCTTTCTTTATCCTTCTCGCCAAAACTCACATGGCCATACATTGAGTAAAAACAATGAAAATTTCAGCTTGATTGCTTGTATGTCGTGTTTTTGAAGTGGGGTTGTTGTGTTTGTTGCTAGAAGTTGCTCTGAACAAGATTAGGACCATCCCTATCTGGGTTTGGATGATCTTGATCATCTGGTACTTTTTCTTACTTGGTACACCCACCTCCTTTACCCATAAAAATTCACTCTGAAACTGAAATTTTCCTTTAGAACAAATTATCAATCTGGAAAAACAGAATTGAGTAAGGATTCTCGAATTCAGAGCTCTACTTCAAAAAGAAAAAAAAAAAAAAAAACACAAAGGAAGTAGAATTACGAAAAAATGGTGTGAAAGGATTTAAAAAAGAAAAGAGAGTGAATTTTGTACAAGTTCGTGTGAATGTTCTAAGCTATGCTTAAACAAGAAAAACATAGAAGGTGAAATGGAAATGGTAAATGGATGTTGGGTGTATCGACTCTTTTCTCTCTCTCGTCTCGTGCTGTGCTTATCTAAACCAGACACAGTTGTTACCAGAGAGAGCGCTTTACCGTTTATCTTCAGCAGGTAAACCTTTCACGTTAATCTCCGATCTTGGCGTTTTAATTGATTTATTTGCTGTTTAATTTCACGTGCTGTAGCGAGCTAACCTGATCCAGCTCTTAGCGTGCGCGGCTGATTTCTTTTGTGAATTTTGATTTATTTTGTTGTTGTTTCTTGATTGGGTTCTCAGTTTTAGGTTGTGGGTTGTTTGATGATTTTGATCTGGGGTTTTTGCTTACTTGAGTTTTTGGGTTGATTTGTATGTTTTGTTTTAGTGATGATTGAAGGGTTAAAGTTGTTAGCCTTTTGGAGTTTTTATGATCTCTGTGAGTTGAGTTTTTTTGTGGAGATGGAATTGTTTTAAGTGATGAAAACTGTGTTTTTGTTGTTTGATCTTGTTAGCTCGTGATGGGAAACAGTTTTTATTATTGTTCAGTGAATTTTTTTTTGTGTTTGGATGTTCAATTTAGGTTTCTTTATTTTTCATTAACAAGAATTTTGTTTTTCCAGTTGAGTTCACTTCGAAGTTAACCTTCGTGTTTACTTCAGTTTTACTCTTGAACTTTACTCGTTGGATTTGGTAGTTCTTTTTCGTGCTTTGCTCTGGAATGTTGTTGGAGCTGAATTTTTCAAAAAATATTTCTTTTGCCTTTTTACAATACCAGTTTGACATAAAACAAAGACTTGCAATGTATGATCACAGTTTGTTACTCACCAGTTTACTGGGAATATTTTTAGCCTAATCATGGCCTGTTTGGCAGTGGACTTTGAAAATTATGGGCATTGTGCTAGACTAGTTTGTTTTTTGTGTGTGCTCTGCTGCCCTTAGTAATTAATGGTTGTATGTTGCTGAAGTTTATGTTGGTTGTCTGTGGCTTTAATGTCTTTGCTACTAAGGGAGTGTGTATGTGTAAGTGTATTATATGCATATAATAGGCATGTCTTTGACTCTCTGTGGTTTTGATCTGTAGGAAAAATGATTAAGCTATTCAAAGTCAAGGAAAAGCAGAGGGAAATTGCTGAAAATGCCAATGCCAATGGGAAGTCACCGATCAAGAAGCAGAGTGCTGGAGAGTTACGACTTCATAAAGGTTGTCTGTCAAATACGTTTGAATGACTTTTATATTATTTGAGGCTTTTTTATTTTTATTTTTATTTTTTATATTAATTCATATATGCCAGTTTGTTTTGTTGATGCATCCTCTAATATCAGCGAGCTTGGGGGGCGAAAACTGATCCTTTTCAACTTCTGTAAAATCTGTTAATAGTCGCAGTTTGATCCTACTTCATTAAACTCTTATAGACTAGTATTCCTGGCTATTGTTTTTTCTGGAGAAGTTGTTCTGTGGCAGTGTTGAAATTATTTATACATTTTCCTTCAATTCCTAAAACCTAATATAACCTGCCATATGTATGAATTGATATCCACCTACTTGTACCTAAGTTTTACTTGTTTAACCTTATTTTAATTGTCAATTTGAAGTTTGCACTGTGTTAACTGTCTTAATTTTTTGTGTTTCTCATCTTCTGTAGACATCAGTGAATTGAACCTGCCAAAAACTTGTGGCATTGTATTTCCCAATGGCAAGGATGACTTAATGAACTTTGAGGTTACTATTAGACCCGATGAAGGATATTATCTGTAAGTATACCTTGCCCATTCAGTCTTCCTTTCATTATTTTTTTTCTTCAGATATCTACTGTCTGATCATAAAGGATTTGTTATTTGAAGCAAAACTTCTATATCAGGATTGAGAACCTATAAGAATTTTATATTTTGGGAGCACAATTACTTTAAATGTGCTGTAGGTTTTGACAATCAGGTATGTCTTGTGTCAAATAATGGTGCTGGAGAGTGCATTCAGGGGCCTAAAAACCAGATTTTTCCTCCACTATGAGCACAATCTTTATCTCCTAGGAAAATTCTCTTGGTCTGAATTATCTTGCTTTATATTGTTATAAGTTGAGTCCAACTTTGCAAGTGACAGATACTTACCTAGTTTTTTATTTTTGTTGCAGAGGTGGTACATTTTTGTTCTCTTTTCAAGTGTCCCCCATCTACCCTCATGAAGCACCAAAGGTGAAGTGCAAGACAAAGGTAACTAATCTAATCTTTTTAGTTCCTGTTCATTCTTTATTTGTTTCAACAATGTTGCCTGTTTGCTAGGCACATGTGAAAGGCACTTATAATTGTGGATTGAATTTGCAGGTGTACCACCCTAATATCGACTTGGAGGGAAATGTTTGCCTCAACATTCTAAGAGAAGATTGGAAACCTGTTCTGAACATAAACACTATTATATATGGACTGTTTCATCTTTTTACGGTATTGATTCTTCATTCACAACTAGTTCCTGTAACTAATTTGTTTGCATTCTACTTAAGACTTAGTATTTGTGTGCAGCAACCCAACTGTGAGGATCCCCTCAATCACGAAGCGGCTGCTGTTTTAAGGGATAACCCGAAACTGTTTGAATCCAATGTTAGAAGGGCAATGGCTGGTGGATATGTGGGGCAAACCTTCTTCACTAGATGCATGTAGATGCTTCTTGTGTTGAAAAACACTTAATTTACTTTAAATTCGGGGGCTGTATATTTGGTCGCAAGGGTTCTTCTTCCATTTCTTGTGTGCTGTTGTGACAAATTCTCAGAATCATGCAAAAGCACACAGAAGATGTTTGTAATGCTGCTGTAACTTTGTGACATGTTTGTGATATTGGCCGGGGACAACATTATTTTTCTTTATTTTGATGTGAATCAATTGGGAGAAGCTCTAGACTGGGGAACTCTATTCAGTGTATTTCCTTTTATTTTTATGGGGTGAAGAAGCATGCTTTCCTTTATATATTGATGCCAAGAAAATATTATATGTTTCTGGTTTTGTGCATCTCTCCTCTCTTTTTCTTTCTTTTTCCTGTTCTGAGTATGAAGTATGACATTTCTTCCAAACACAATCTTAGCTTATAGCATCCGAGCTTCAACATGAGTTAACATAGAACACAACCCACAATTTTATTGATAATGAAGTAAATAGTAAATACTACCACACAAAAATTTTGAAGGTATGTACAGAAATAAATTCAAAGACCTTCATAAGCAACTCAAAATGGGAATTACATTTATATTAGAAGGTACAAACTGAAAAATGCTAGGCTCTCCCTCAACTATCTAAAATCTATTAACAGACGATAACAGAAGATGATCGTGGCGGAACAAACTGAACATGTGTATGTGCAATCAACAAAGAACAATGGTGAGATGGAACATAAATGTGGACTTGGAAGGGCTACTTGAGGCTGTCACTAGGATGGCCAAACCTCTTGACAATTGCTGCCATGTACTTTCCCTGATGCTCAGCTAAAGCCAACTCTGTTTCACTTGGTTCTCTTGAGCCATCACCAGAAAAAACTCCTGCACCATATGGAGACCCTCCTCTTAGTGAGTCCATTTTGAACATTCCAGCACCAAAGGTGTAACCGATGGGAACATAGAGCATCCCGTGGTGGGCTAACTGAGTGATTGCTGTCCAGCTGCAATATGAACATGACAAATTATTTGGATTGAAATGTCGAAACAGCCATAGCATAAAAAGGAAAGTTCCCCAAACAGGTCACTCATTTTTTAACACTTTCACTGGTATACTGGTTTATAGTCTATGGTGGAGGTCCATCAATCATCAAGTCTGTCTGCAGATTTCTCAACTTACTGAATTCAGGCATGCAAAAGTGGCATGATTATGAATACTTTAATCACTTGCAAAAAATCAAAAAGTTGTTAGAACAAAAACCTAGAGTACAAATTTTATTAGGTCTGGAAGACAACCATAGCATTCTTAGACAAATAAACAGACCACACCAGTGATGACCTGAGTAAAGCTTACATTCCTCAAGTTGAAATCCTCAAATAAACAATTATGATAAGTCCCATTAATGAGAAGATTTTAAGGCTGTGCATAAAAATAAGAGTCTACAACACTAAGGAACTTTTGGTAGATGTTAATAAATCTGTTTCCAACCCAACTCCGTATTTACAATGCTGTTAACAGTAACTACTGATAGTATAATATTTCTTGTGACCTGAAAGAGTCATATTTGTCCGGTTGTGTCGCATGAAAGAAAGCTTATAAGAAAAAATTGCATTGTCAAGCTTCACTTAACATTGTCTTTACCTAGACACTAACCAAGTTTGAGACATTGAGCACAGAAAACAGACAAACAGGGAATGAATCCTAAGCCACAACATCTGGATACTGATCGAGAAGTGTTGTAATTCATTATACTCAATAGGATAAACAGTTTTCACCTAATTTTCATTTAACTAACTATCAAATATTTTTAGGAGTACCTCAAGACCCTGCTTTGCCAGGAAGAGAACTCAGTAATAACCATTTATAACCTCAAGAAATCCACATTGTTTTCATCTAAATACTACAAAGGAATCTGAGATGTAACCAAGAGGCTAACTTTAAGACTTTACAACCTCAATAGTTCTTAGACAAGTCGAAATTTCTGTCAATTTATTCTCCTCTCTCCATACAAGTAATTCAAAGACCTAAGTAGAATAATCGGCAAAAGATTTTTCAACTATTTAAATAATTTCATGAGCAATACATAATATTCATATATAAAGATTCTATCTCATTTTTCTTGTTTGATATTCACTGACAGTCATCAACATCTAACCACAACATCAAAATCATCCAATAAAGACATGGTAACCTTGCAACTTAAAAATATGGGATATATGAATATAAATCTAATCTTTTTCCATGTTAACTTCCAATTCACCTAATTCAACCAAAATGAATCAAAGCCATCAAGAACAGAATACTCAAACAAATATATCTTTGGGAAAAAAAAGTACCATAATCAAACATCAGCTATCTAATATCACTAACAAAAAATTAAATAAATAAATAAAAAGTAAACAATGTACTTACGCAGTAGTTTCTTGTCCACCACCCTGAGTTCCAGTACTCACAAAGAAGCCAGCAGGCACGCCTGAAAGTCGTTGATTCTCCCACAACGGAAATGTAGAGTCAAAAAAGGTCTTCATTTGAGCCGCCATCGAGCCAAACCTAGTTGGGAACCCAAACAACAACCCATCAGCCAGAATCAACTCATCAACACTAATCACAGGCAAATCATCACCCTTCTGAGGTACTCTCATCTGCTCCAAAATCTCCACTGGCAAAGTCTCAGGGACTCTATACAAAACCCCTTCAACTCCATCTATGGAGTCAACTCCTTTCTTTATCCTTCTCGCCAACAACTCTACATGGCCATACATTGAGTAAAAAACAATGAAAATTTTCAGCTTCTTGATTGCTTGTATGTCGTTGTTTTGAAGTGGGGTTGTTGTGTTTGTTGCTGGAAGTTGCTCTTGAACAAGATTAGGACCATCCCTATCTGGGTTTGGATGATCTTGATCATCTGGTAACTTTTTCTTACTTGGTACACACCCACCTCCTTTACCCATAAAAATTCAATCTTGAAAGGGAAATTTTCTTTTAGAACAAATTATCAATATGGGAAAGTAATAGAATTGAGTAAGGATTCTCGAATTCAGAGCTCTACTTCAAAAAAGAAAAAAAAAAAAAAAAAACACAAAGGAAGTAGAATTACGAAAAAATGGTGTGAAAGGATTTAAAAAAGAAAAAGAGATAGTGAATTTTGTACAAGTTCGTGTGAATGTTCTAAGCTATGCTATAAACAAGAAAAACAATAGAAGGTGAAATGGAAATGGTAAATGGATGTTGGGTGTCTCTAAGAAGCCTGAGTTGACCTGGCTTTGCTTTTGAGCTGTAGTTAGTTTGAAAATGGCTGGCATGTCTGAAGAATCGTGTGTTGTTTTGTTCCACTAAACGTTGTCGTATCACCTGTTGACAACAAAAATCTTTACAAACCGCACCGTGTTGTTTAAACTAAATGGCGCCATCTCTATCAGAGTTTTGTCTTTGGCTACTTGGTGTTGTGTATCGCACTAGCACTTCACAAGATATACAAGTATTACAATTATGTTCCATTTTCGATTTCGATATCGTTACGATCCTATATCACTATTATTCTATTTTTTGATCATCACTCACCAAAACCTCTCAAATCTTACTCTCGTCACCAATCGCCGACAATCAAGCGATTAAGATTTACGCAACCGTCCATCCTAAGTTAAATTCAGATCAATTCTCACCACCAAAATCCAACATTCTATCATCAAAAGACTCATCGACCTTCTCTCTTCAAAAGCCCCAACAGTCTGGACCAAATTTGTTCTCTATTCGCAACCAGAATATAAATTTAGGTAATAAAATAGTATTTAAAAGTCTGTAAATGAGAAAGTGTCATTAAACCGTTATTTGGATGGGAAAAAATAATCAACTCTTTACAAAATCCGAAAACCATGATCAATTTTTCCATTGTCAACTTAGAATTTTATAATATTATCGGATTTGTCACAATCCGAAGGTAATAATATTTATTAAATTGACTCGTATTATGTTTTCAATGCAACAGTTTAGAAATCACATTGACATGTGGGAATGTAGATGAGAAATCTCATGAAAATATTCCAGTAATAAATGGTGATACATTACAGGATGAAGAATGAGTACATGACTCTGTTTGTTACACATTATAAAGAGAACTAGCAAACTCCACACATGCTAGTAAAAACAGGAAAAAACACGAGTACAGCACTCTGTTTTCACAGTTTGAATCACAAACTTGACAGATTTTACATTTCAGAGGCTCACATAGGACAGGAGGTGATATCATCGACCGGATCCGAATTTCAGAGCAGATGCTGAAATTGGTACTTTTACAATTGATATGCATTGAAATGCAAGTGTCATAGTTTCTTCAATGAGGCATTTTTAGATAATTTCTTCATTGAGCCACTTTCAGACCTCTTCAACTCCCACGGCGGCAGGCAGCCTTTGTAGTGAGAGTGCAGAAACAATGAAGATATTGAGACTTCCTTATGAGGCATTGAGATTGATGACCAGCAACTAAAGGCAGTTCTTAGTCTCTTCTTCTCACTTTCACATCCTTGGAAATTAGGGTCATGTTGCACAGTGGTAGATTTAAGGCCTTCGGGAAGTATGCAGTTGCATAGTGAACCTACAAGGAAGACACAAAAAAAAAAAAAAAAAATTAATGATCCAAGATAACGGCATTTAGAAGATGCAAAATTACGAGGTCTGTAAAACCATAGTTGGGGCATGTAACAACAATATATCTCATCAATACCCAAAACTAAACTTTCCTAAGTAGGTGCTGAGATACTTATAATCACATTCACTTTGAAGTTATATATATTACTAAATCTGGTAATAGTTAATAGACCAAAGCATGATGTATGGGTGGCCTCGAGTACTTCTGCAGGCTCATGAATTTCCATGGTTGATGAACTACCCTAAGTGCAAGCTTCATTTTCCTTGAGAAAATTAGGTAGAATACTATTCAGAGTACAGGATAAATTCTGTCACAAACTGGAGAGGTAACATGTAGCAATGACAGGGTTTCAATCATTCATTTCTTAAGTCCTGAAATGTCTAAGCGACATTGATCCAACAAATGCATGGTCCAAATATGTTGTGAAATGAAGAAAAGATACATGTCAAATACCTATTCTTGCAAGACGATTTACCCATTTTGGAATTGGGTTCCCTGTTAGCTTATAACATATATCCTCACAGAAATGGTTGCAGTTCTTAGCAATCAAATGATATGTATCACCATTGTAGTTTGCAGACTGGCGCTCCATGAACTCTCTAAGCTCAACAGGATCCAAGCATGTTGTTCCCATGAATACTGACTTTCTAAACCTGAAGCCAGGGCACTGTCGTGGTTCAACATCAAAGACACCACTTGTTTGGTAATCATGTGCTCCAAAGGCATATTCTACACCATGGACTGAGAAAATGAGTAGAAACAGTCAGAACCCACAAAATTTTGAGATTGCATGATTAAAGAAGAAAACACAGAGAGCAGATTAAACACTTCTAAGATAAATAGATTACTGATGAGAAGATTAATCTGGATTCCATACTTAGAATTATATGGTAAGAAGATTAATCTGGATTCCATGCCATACTTTTTGTGAAGAACATAGGTCTAGATGTGTGTGCGTGTGTTGCATGTGATACATGCATGCCTGCCGGAGAGCCCATAATTTTTCCTTAGGGATGTGGAGCATCCACTTTAGAGAGAAAAAAGTAAGGATGCTTTCCTAATAAATGTCTTTCATGACTACTGTGTGAAACGGAACAATCGGATTCAGAGATGATTTGACTACCAGTGTAAACTCAGGAGTGATGTGATTCAGATAGAACATATCCGTGAATGAGTAGTGAGGGAATGACAAGAGACAGCCTCATGTAAAGGGAAAATGGAAAGACATGATTCACACAATTACCAGTACAAACCCAGTGATAATGTGAAGCATCTAATGATGGATGATCTTGGACTAACAAGAGAATATTCTAATTACAACAAAACAATTTTGAAACCAACTTTGAGGTCTAGAAAAGAGTGTAAGCTAACCTTCTACCCCAGTGTGAAAAATACCAACGCCTGCCCAGTAGACATAGCCATTGATTGGTGTCAAGTCATAAACATTCAAATAGACAGGCGTGTTTCCTGGACTAAAGCCTGCTGACTTCACTTTTGGGAACATGCAAAAACGGGTGGCCGAACTGCCTCGTAAACGGAGAGGTGCAACAGAGTTCCATCCATTCTTGAGTGCCAACTTCATGTTTGTGAGTGAAACCAGGAATCAATCGATACCAGTTCCAACCTGCAAGAAAGTATAACTATGAAAAGCTAAAAAAAAAAAAAAAAAAAAAAAAATTTGGTTGCAGGCACAAAAACCATGACAAGGAGCACTCATGAAATAAAATCCAAAAGGAATAAATTTAATAAGAATTATCAATAAACCTAAACTATTTTCGTCAACAATTCACCACCACTATCATTATTGCCAAGTAATAATATATTAGACAGCATTTCAACCTCACCTTGTATTCCTACCTTTTGAAATTAAAGGTACAATCTATCACATACAGTGGGAGCCACCTTGTCTTTGCACAGTCAAAAACTTCCTAATGCAAAAACTTCAAGTTGTCAAGTTAATTTTCACAACATAACATCTCAATTTTCTATTTCACTGATTCACTATATTGCAGGGCCACATCTCCTGTTCAATCACAAACCTCTTTTTGCCTCACATTCTTCTTTGCAAATTTTTCTAATTATTGGATTTAGAGCCAGATGAATAGTTCATATCAGCTGACTTTCCCTAGGTCAGTAGCTCAGGGAACCACCTCTACCATATTGGGACGAGAAGTGCTAGTCTTACAAAGACAAATACAAAGGAGGCATACAAAGACAATTGTTACCCTTGATCTTCATGATTTCTCTCTCTCTCTCTCTCTCCCTCTTTTTCCGTTCTTTCTTTGTTTTTTTCTTCTCTTTGTAGCCCTCTTTGTATAGGTCTTTGTAAGGATAGCATTTTTCTATTGGGACATGCATCAACTTCAATTATATCAATGTGGTGGGCATCCTTTTCAATGGTAAGTGAAATGATACATTGCTCAGATAAACAGTAGGCACAAATACCAGAGACTTAAAAGTCTACACAAAATAACTTAATTAGGATGCAAATTGCCAATTTGCCATATGCCCATATTTCCCTCCTCGTTTTGCCAATAGCCAATAGGTAAACTGGGAACAGTAACGATAATGTTCATAATTGGGGAAACAAGATATTTGAGATTCACAATCCTAAAAACATGTTGAGTCCTGATCCTAAATATGGTTAACCCACGAGGCAAAGATGAAGAGATTCACAATTCATCACAGTAAGCTCCAGATCCCATAGCAAAATTGCTTTTTTTTTTTTTTGAGTTAATAGATGTTAGGATAGCATAAAACTATAAAAGCAGCCAGAGTCGAGATTTTTTGTCTGTGGAGTAATTGGATTTTCAGCATCTATTGTTTAGATTAGAAAACAAGGCCACAGACTCACAGTCAACAGTAAAATTGAACAAAGAAAAGAAAGAAAAAAGAAAAAAAAGATGTATGAGAAAATGAGAAAACATTACACACAATGACAAAATGAACCACTCAATGAAGCAAATCAAATTCATAGGTAAATCCAGAAACAAAAGGACAAAAATTGTAAAGAGAGACCATCTCATACTAAAATTATCCAAACCATGATAAGCAACATAAATAAAGTAGAGAAGCATGAAAAAACAAATCAAGAAATCCAGAAAATGGGAAAACAAGCTAAACCCATCAAAGAAAAGCAGCAAATCAAAGGGAAAATGCAAAAATAAAACAAACCCATTACGAAAAAAATGAGAATCAAAGAGATCCACTTACCTTGTTAAAGAGGAGATTCAAGACAAGACTTCATTACAGCAGGAAGAAGATAATGTCAACACCAAAAATGCAAGGCAGCCATTAGTAAAGCAAAATAAGAGCACCTGAAAGTGGAGGAAAGTGTTTGAGTTGCCTTGTCTGAAACTGAAACTCACATTGATTTTGCTTATGGCATGTATGTTAAGTTATGTTTCTGTTGGTTTGGTCTTGTCTGGTACCAAAAAATAAAGAAAACAAAAACAAAAACAAAAAATTAAAGCTGGAAGGAGTGCTGAAATTACTGTCCTTTTCTGAGAGTCCAATAAGGAAAGAGAAGAATAAATAAAGAGAAATGAAAACTTAAAGAATAAACATAAAAAATCTTTCTCTGAAATTAGTATCTACCTAAAGGTGAAAAAGTAATCCCATTGACTGACTTGCTTGTGGAAAATTTATGATTACTGTTAAGAAACAATAATGAGTTTACATTTATTACTTATAATTTTATACTCTATTAAATGCAAGAAACTCATAAATATACATTAACTCATAATATATATATATATATTTTGTAGGCATGAGATGTTCGGGTCAATTTATACGTATCTCAATTAACGATCGGATAAATTTTTCGATGATCACTCTTATTAGGGCTTATAAAGACTCGAATTTAAGAATTCATGCTGGACTCTATTGCTCATTTATCATCGATCACCTGATGAAGTTTATCATGCATATTTTATTGACACATCATTATACAAAAAACCCTCTAAAATAGATAATGTATAATTAAATCAGGATACCCAATTCTGTTTGATTCAATATGAATTTATATAAATATAATGGGGATATGATAATTCTATATACTGATTGGTATTTTTTAAGGCTATGATTAAATGAGTTTTGGATGGAAGAGGGGGAAATAATTGAAATGAATTGTATTATTTGAGTATGAGTGGAGTGTTTGTCAGCATATGCAAATGTCGTGAAGAGAGAAAGCATGGAGATCTTCTTCTCTGATCTTATATGCATAAAGAAATACAAAAAAGTTTGGTCCTCGAATCTGGAGAAGCGTGATGATTTTAATAATTTTTTCTTCTCAAAAGTTTCATGAATGCCAAACACCCATGCCATGTAAGCATGAATTCACTGTTTCTTTATTACAGTTCACCATTTTCCCTGTTGACCACATTTTCTCTTAAAAGCAATTAGAATACTATTGAGGTTATCGAAAGAGCTTGGAACCATTATCTCTTACTGGACGAGTAGAGCGTTAAAGATTTTGATGTATTATTCAAGAAATCTTGGTTTGATTCTTCTGAATTGTTAGTAGCCTAATAAAAGTGATCATTAGAAGATTTACTCGATTAAACTTTAGACCCGAGGTTGTCGATAAAACAAACAGAGTAAGAGTTTGGGTATGCTTCAAATTAGAATCTTGATTAGGTAATAAATCGATTCAATGTAAGTTTATTATTGCTAAAGTAGTTTTGCTTGATCCTGCTGCAACATGGGAAAGCAACTCAGAATTGACTACAATTGGTTTCTTAATATTTTTATTGTACTAATTAAGAACGATTATTATAAATTATGATAATAAATTCCCATTAAGCATTCTCACAAAATCATCTTGTTCATTGTAGCGTTAGTTTGAAGCAATGCAGCAGCAGCAGCAGCCATTTGAGAGTCCTGATCAGTGTCATCCGAGCGGTTGATGCGTCTCCTAATTTGTTGGGGTAATTCGTTTTTCGATTTCAATTACTGAATTTGTGGTTTTTGAACGTGCGAGTTTTGAATTGAAGATTAATGGGTTATGCTCAGGATGCCCCATTGACATTCCAGGAGAGAAGAAAGGGTTCCTCACGAAAAGAGCATCAATTTGGTGAGAAACTGCAAGAACAACTCTGAGAAATGTTGTTGAGTAATGCTAATACAACAGGTGAAATTATAAAGGCAGCTTCAGATTTTAAAGGGTACTGCTTTTTCCCTTCTTTATGATGATCTTCTTTCATGTCATATTCCTTTGGGGTACATTTTTGAATTGCTTTGTTCAATTGTTGAACTTGAAGCATTTTGTATTTGATTTTGTTTCTATATAGTGCTGCAAATGTAAGTGATCAGGGTTTCTTAGATGAAAGTGAAGACAATGACCAAGTATGTAATAGTCTTTGATCTTCTTGTTGAACAGTTTAGCAAACTACTTTAATGCTTCTAATATTGTGTGAAATATGGTGGTTTTACTCATATTCCAGGTCTCTCTCTTTTGTTTTTCACAGAAAAATTTCACTGTCCAGCATAGTATCGCAAATCCGGATTTGCAGTTGCCGGAATCTGCAGAAAAAAAGGTAAAAACAACTCCAAGTTTGCCTTTTTTCCTCTCTCTATCCCATAAATACAACATTTGAATCAATAAAGAACCTTTTCTTCTATATCTATATCAATCGATATTATTCTATTCCAATTCCTTCCCAATACCTCTCAAGAAAAATCCCGAATTGGATCCCAAATTGACGGGTTAGTGTGAGCTTATCCATGCAGTGGTGAAAGTCCTGCTCTATTGGTTGGTTGTTCTCTGAATTTACTTTCGATTGTATCTGCTGACTTTCTTTCCGTTCCTTGGACAGGAGATACTTGAATTGAGAAAAGAAAGGAAGAGGCAATCTAATAGGGAGTCAGCAAAGAGGTCAAGAATGCGCAAACAGGTATGTTCATAAAATATTTGCATTCCTTCGTGTAACAGTTTCTGCTAAACTTCTTGCCGGTAACAGCTTATCTTGCTATATTCTGAAAAATGATGTTAATTGGGAAATATAACTTTCTCCATTTCTGATCATATTTCTTGTTTTATAGTTGGAATACTACTACACCAACAACCCTCTCTCACAAACTTTCTCTCACAACCTTGATGTGACAGCTCGCAATTAGTCAGTTCACAACGGGTCTCACATGAGTCTTGCATAAATCCAACTAATTAATTGCGAACTGACTAATTGTGAGTTGCCACGTCAGTGTTGTGAAAAAAAATTTGTGAGAAAAAGTTGTTAGTGTAGTATTACTCTTATAGTTATTAGGAACAAACCATTCCCTATTAAGAGAGCTGTGTTTTTTATAATGCTTGGATGTTGTAAAGTTGTCAAAATATCGGTAAAAAAGGTTCAGTCGATTCATTCATGGCTCGACTCTAATTCAAGTTTCGGATTCCAGGAAGAAATCAAAATATTAGAAGCACAAATGCAGGAGGTTAAAGCTCAGAGTTCCATGCTCAAGGATAAGCTATTGAGTCTTGCTGAGGAATGTGAAAAACTCAAAGATGAAAACAAATCCTTAATGGTTTGTTCCCTAAACCCTTTATTCTTTACTGTTAATTTTGTCTCTGCCGTTGAATTTTGTTTCTTTTGGCTACGTGACAGGTAGAGATAAAACAGATGGATAAGCCAGATGCATTTTCACAGTTCCTACAGTTACTGAATGGTGAAATCAATATAAGCAAACTTATTCCAAGCCTAGAATACTCAACACCTCATCAGAGTTCAGATTCATCGCCGTCAAACTCGAAAGATTGAAGCAACTCCAGACTAAAATTTTTCCGAAGGCCTATGCTAATTCTTGATTCATAGTTGTAAATAAAAGAAAAAGTCACTTTATGCAGATCTTAAATTTTATATAATGTAACTGAAAAACAAAATTGGTTCTTATACGATATATACCATTGGCAGAAACATTGTGCAAGTTTTAGTAAGTGTTCTTAAGGCCTGGGAAATTCACTCTTGAGTTTTTATGAAGCATTCTGGTAATATGTTCAATGCTCATAAAATGGAAAAAGAAATTAAAGCTATAAGAAACTACTAATATATGAACTGTTTAAAATTTACAGCTGGGATCTTCCATTCACTTTCCATTAAGATCTCTAGTTCAGTTTGCAATCCAAAACTTCTATATACCAACAGCACATTTACAGTAGAAAATTTGTTTATACTTTTTAGGCCATTTCTGGTGCAAAAACAAAGGCTACCACTGCCTAATCTGAGATGAGACAAAAGTTTGACCTGATGAGTGAAAGATTGACTTGTCAGTAGGAAAATGTCAATCTTCATCGTTTGGTTGGGGATCTGGAATTTGGGCAGTTAGACGTTCAGTGCCTTGATCTGGATGTGGATCCGGAATTTGTGCAGTTGGGCCTTCAATAGCATGATTCCCCTGCCTTGGCATGGGATGAATGACATCCTTAAATGTTTGGTTCACTGGAAAGGAAAGAAAATAAATTAGGTATATTAAATTCAAACAATTAAGGAGATAATGGAATCTAAATTAAATGCAGTTTCTGTATAAATGCAGACACAAAAAGAAAATGTGAGCACACTTGAGCTTAGTTGTTTCACAAGTTACAAATATTCACTAAATAGCCTTCAGCGTATCATATTTATATGGCTATTAGATGGGATCATGCAGTCATAGAAAATGAATATTGTAATTAGAATTTAAATCGATCATAAAAATGCCAAAAATGATAGATGTACGACAAAACTCCTTGTAAAATGCAATGTTGAAGTTCGGTATTAAATCTGGAGAAAACCCACGTTGGTCTGAATTCTCACCTAGTGACATAATTTCCATAAATACTGCCCCCACAAATTGAAATTCTGGTTGGTGCGCACTGACAAAGTTACTCTGCAGGTTCAGTAATCTATCAGATTTATATATTTGAACTCAAATCTGAATTAGCAATTGAGTGGCATGAAAGATCCATTTCTTCCACCATGATATGAAATTGCACAAATTCTTACCATTTGACGATATATAAAGTTCACAATCTGATCAAGTCTAGCTTGGTGTCTCAACAGAAATGGGCGGAGATGGCTCATATACATATGCCTTGCTCCCTGTTAAATGCCAAGCAGTCATCAAGCGGTAATCAATCAAAAAGCAGTAGTCAGAATTTATCAAACTTAGTTTATTTCGGCTATTTGGGGAAATGCTAGCATTTGCTAATCTAAATATATGTAAAAGAAGAAAAAAAATCAGCCAAACTAGGGGTACTAGCCAACTTTTAACAAAAATCAATTTCATATGATGGCAAAAGTGTATATGTTCAGTCCAAGCAATCATAAAGATCCTCCAAATGGTAAATTATGCAAGATTAAGTAACAAGTAAAAATCCTCTGCATATTAAAAACCAAGTCAAACTTACATTGCCAGGTGGAAGTTGTAGCCAAACTAGAAATGCAAACTTCACATGATAGTAGAGTGGAAACCTGATGAAACAGTTCAACAGTAGCTCGTTTAGATTGCAATTACACACTAAATGCATAAAGATGTAAAACCTAGAATTAAGGATGGGACTTCTCTCTCGACGAACGATCAAGCTCAACATTCTAAAAATAATAGTACACATGAGATAAGTAAGCAAATAGAACTTTACATCATATCCTGGAATCTAAAGTAGAATTCAGTTTCCCAAAGCTTTAAATGGAAAAGGCTACACAGATCATGAAACCCAACTGGCAAGTTGAATTCAAACTGAACACAGAGAAATTAAAGAAATTATAAATGTCATACAATTTACAGCAGATCTTCAAACAATGAAGGACAAATATTTTACCACATTAAATTCACAGAGATTACAGAAACAGAAACGAGTTTAACTCAACAATTTCATTTATGTAAAATCTTTAAGACCTTAGCCCTAAGCAGGATGTTGGTCCATATGGCACAATAATCTTCATAAGAATGCACAACCCTGTTTTTGTCATTTGCTTCTTTAAATTTCTCAAGTTCTATGAAAAACCAATACTCATCTCTTTGTGCTATAATTTGTTTTAATCATCTAACAATGACATAGAGGTACAGCTGGTTTAATTTGCAAAATCATTAAAACCTTATTTTCCAGTATAAAAATGACAGAAAAAAAGGGGGACAAAAAACTTTACCAGTATAGAATCTTGTCTGCAAACACTTCTGCAGCCCTAAAAGATCCATATACTGCAAGTAGTCCAAGGTCCAATGTTAAGTAAAAAAAAATAATAAAGAAGCTCATGCACTCCAACGAACATGGAGCATAACAATCAATCAAACACATAATGAATTATTTATTAGATCCTTCCTCTCAAACCCTTACCCAGTCACTCTAAATCTTAATTTCTGCAACTACATCCATTAAAAAATGTATTACCCCATCCTACTTATAAGATAAACAAATTTAAGATAAAGCAAGTTAGCAAACCATTTAAACAGCTTAAAAGTGCTGCACAAAGCAATACATTTAGAAGAAGAATTTAAACAAAAAAAAAAAAAAAAAAACCAAAAAGCTCACTGCAACACTATACTTTTAAATTATAAAGTGATTCTCACCGTGCTTAGTTTTATAGTCTTCGCTCTCCACATATAACTAAATTAGTGATATAAGTACCAAAGGAACTTTAAAAAAGAGAATGAAAAAAAGAAAAAAAAGGAAAAAAAAAAGTGACAGTAATGGGTATATACCAGTCCAATAAAGTAGCCACCTTCGTTGTTCATCGCGATTATCGTTCTCAATAGCTTTAAACGTTGAATAAGCGGGTAAAACAGTCCCCACACCACAACTGCACCAACAAAATCCATTTATTATAAACGCTTTCAATTCATAAACCCATCTCCATTTCATTTAACTAACAACATTTTACTTCTTACCATGCTGTACGCATAACAATATTGGAGCTAATTGGACTTAGAAGCAATCCCAAACCCACCTGTTTGGATTAAAAGAACTATCAATAACTCAGGATTTCTATTTCAATCATGCTTTAAAATGATTCATTGCAAACAAAACAATAGTAAAACCCTAATCCGAGATTAAAAGAAAATTAAGCATTAGAGATAGAATAAGAATTACTGACCTCTCTTGGCAGTTCCATTTGCACGTAATAACTGGAATTGGACCCAGAGACTGAGAGAGAGTCCCTTTTTTTCAAATAAGAAGGAGATAACAAGGTGACAACAGAGAGGGTTCCTTTCAACAACCAATCCTGAGTTTTCAGAAAATATCAATCACATACATAAATTAAATTGGGATGTCATTTAGTCACCCCATGTTTTAAAAACTTGTTAAAAGACCACCCTCGAAGCTAATACAATCCATTTCATTGCCCATGGCCCTGTATATCAAATGTGTTAAATGAGCTAACATAAGTGGATGATCATGACAGTGTAATTAACGTAATGTTACACATCCAAACTGAAAAAATAAATTTCTCATCTTAAATATTGCCTCGTCTCAAGTCACGTTAACATATCACTTTCATTTGTACGTCAATACCACATATTCGAAGACGATAATCTTGGGATATCACTTAGAATGTATAGCATTATTCTTTAACACACATACATTCGGCAAATACAAACTATTCCATAACCCACATACATAGAGATACAGACGTCAGCAAACTTCAATAAGAACATTAACAAATGAACACAAACGTCACTTCAATAAGAACATTAACAAATGAACACAAACAATAACAATGCTGTTAGGCAGTAAATCCATGCAGCATGAATTCACGTCACGTGTCCCAAGACTATAAGTGTACTCATGTCATGTATCACTCTATCAGAGGTTTTGAAAATCTATTATGCCATGTGTCATTCTATCAGAGGTTTACTTCACTAGTAAGTTTATTTGTGCAATAATATATATATTGATCTCTCACCTTAATTGGGGGATCTTCTTACCCTATTCTAAACTGTCTGATTCAGATTGAGAAAGAACTTTTCTTGTACACGAAAAACACATAAGAAAAGTAATACAATAATAGTGGACGTATGATTTGCATTTTGTATCCGAACCATTTTAAAGGTTATTTTATTTTTTATTTTTAGACTGATTTAACATTAAAATACTAGTTTACTACAAACCCTTTACATAGATTTCGCCAAGAAATTTACGTATTTCTCGTTAATGTAAAAACTGCATCAACAAATGCAAACAACACTAACCATAAAATTAAAGATGTTAATTTGAGTCTTATTCAGAATAGCAACCTCATGAAACAGTAACAAACATCACAACAATAAAACCCAATGAACAAAACCACACACCAACTTTCAAGCTTAAGTTAACTCTGGCTGCAGGCAAGTTGGGGTTTGTTTTTTAATGTGTTTTTTTGTTTATGTCATGCCTTTGACTGTCTTAGTTCAGGGTTTTTATTTTTTTTTCTGATAATAATATTGTTTACTTCTTGTTAAAGAAAATTAACTAACACTCTAACAGGGTGTATTTTGAAAAGTTTATGAAATGTCTGGGGTGGGTAGGTTATTAAAATCTTTAGGGGAAATCAAGTTATTATCACCAATTAAACCTGTCAAATTTCAGCATGGCTGAGTCTTGTAGATGGTTGGTGTGTTAAACTAATTTAAGTGATTAGTATTGTCAAATGTAAAGGTAAAAAAGCATAATGAAAACAATAACAATACCCAGTTGTATCATTTTTCATCATTCATAAGGGTCTTTAAGACCTTGACAGAGATGCATAGCCACAGAATCAAGTGTTAAACAATTGTTGAAGTTATGAAAATAAATTACAACTTATGGAATCTGGGAATCGAGCTCCTCGATGTAGCATGTTTTACTATGTCTGGATAAGTCTTGGTTTGTTCCTCAATCCATAGCCACATATCAGTATAACTGGGAAAGTGGAGCAAAATGCTGACTGTTTGGGAGAGCTGAACCTGGGCATTGGGTGCATATATTCCAAGCAAGAAAAGCAATCTGTTTTCTGAAGGAGTTGTCATTCCAAACCAATCCGAATTCCAGTGGAAGCACTAGCATCTTCTTAGGAGACAGGGAGTTTGGTAGTACCCTTGTGTTGTTGTTAAGTGTTTGCTAGGCCTTCAACAGCCTTTCTTACCGAAACTCTTGCCAGTCTCGCCTCCTGTTTCATCATGAAAAATACACTCCTTTTATTGATATATCTAATAGTCATTTGAGATATATTTTGTCATGACTAAATAAATAATAGTATGATGATCAGAGATCACAATTGAGAATAGAAAACTTTGTTAGACAGAGCACAGTCAGAAGCTAGGACATTTTTGTGCATGTGTTGTGCGCCATGCAAAGAGAAGTAGTGGAGGGACATCCTATGTGTATGTCCTCTCTCTCCAACAGCAGAAGCAGGATGTAGATATTGCAGCCTCATTGAGTTATCTTGGTCTCATTTTGAGAATAGAAAACGTTGTTAGACAGAGCACAGTCAGAAACTAGGACATTTTTGTGCATGTGGTGTGCGCCATGAAAAGAGAAAGTGTTCCAGAAATGAGACATGTACTTACAGTGGAGGGACATCCTATGTGTATGTCCTCTGTCTCCAACAGCAGAAGCAGGATGTAGATATTGCAGCCTCATTGAGTTATCTTTGTCTCATTTTGCTGCTTTTACATGTTGATTGTCTCCTCCAAGCTTCTAATGAAAGCAGCACAAATGAATACATTAGGAAGGATATGTACAGAGAATATAAATATAGATTAAAAATTTCTGTAGAAAGTGTATTGATTGCTGAAGTCTATGGTTTTCAAGTAAAATATTAAAAGGAGAAGAAAGATAAAAATCCATATATGCCAGGAAATGCTGATGCCTTTGATACATATAGTGGGCAAATACATCTGCTAGAGAGTTTGTCCCAAAGACATTGTTGCTTCAAGAAATCGTATTTATGTAGAAAAAGAAAATCCCCATCCTGACCTGGCACTCAGTACCGCCAAATGCAAAGTCTAAATTCCTAAACTGCATGCTTGAATTATTGCACACGAAACCATTGGCAACAAAAAAAAAAAACAAATATCAATGCCTTGAAGGCTTGACCTTAAAATTGAAAATATATTGAAGCACAAATAAAGGGGGATACAAGGGCCTACTTAGGAAGATATGATTACTTTCTGTATCCTATGTAACGCCCCACCTGAGGTACGTAGTTATTGTTTCCTCTTTCGCTCTTATTTGAGTTGGTTTTGGTAATATTGTTTGATTGAGGTGTGTCGAATGCTTGCCCTGAAATTGGTTGAAAATAGAAGAAGTTTAGTGTTTCAGTCTTCGCCGGGGCGAAGAAGAATCTCGCCGCGGCGAAGAGGTGTTGAAGCACGGGGAAGCTGCTGGACAGTTTTGCCGCGCGACAGAAGTTCTCTCGCGCGGCGACAGGCCGATTAAAATGTTTGTAAGTTTTAGATATTTTCTTCCTAAGGGCTATTGACCATTCTACCCTAATTAGCAGGAAAAGGGGAGTTAATTGTAGGATTTTTCATGGAGATTATGTTGATATGGGGTGAGTTTGTAATGAATCAAAGAATATAGATGGAATTCCTAAAGAAGAGTAAGGGCAAAATGGGAATGCTTTGGTATAAATTTCATTAAAAGGAATTAAGAGTTAGCAAACCCCTCATTCTTCTTCTAAAACGCAGCTCTCTATTCTTGTTCCTCTCAACTTCTCTTTTCTTTGATCAAGGAGTTCCAAGGGGTTTTTGAAGTGATTTGGGGTAGAAAATCAACCTAAGGCTTCCTAAGGTAAGGATTCTTACTTTGGTTGTGTAACTTTGTGAGTTTTAGCTATATTGAAGTTAAGGGTTTTTGTTCTTTGGTGAGTAGAGAAAAGTCAAGCAAACCAAGTGAAAGAGAAGATTGGTGAAGTCTCTCCATAACAAGGTAAGTAAACCCCAACCAAGTTGGATTTAAGAATTTTCTTGATTAGGGTTTTGATAGAAATGATGTATGTATGTGATTACATGTGATATGCCATGTAGGAGGTTTAAATAGAGTTCCTATGCCTTGTGATTGTTCATATCTTGCAATATGAGGAATGAGTTGTTGGGTTGGAAAGGTAGTTTGAGGGAATTGAAGGGGTGTCATGGATCCCTTTTTGGAAGTGCTTTCTTTGACAGGTTTTATGGTTATGTGAGGGGTTTTTTTCCCATTTTGGATGGTTAGAGAAAGACTTAAATCATTGCTATAGTAGAGTTTTATGATGCACTTGAGTTGTTTGAGAAATGCCTAGTAGAGGTTTGAGTATGAGTAGTGAACCTTAATTCTTGCAACATTGCTGTTGGCATTTCATAAGTGCATTAGTAGTGATGAACCATCCATAGGCACTAATTGTGCATTAAAAGTGACCTAAGAAAGTGTAGGAAAATTTTGTATGCAATCCCCCATGAGTAGAGAGCTTGGTGGGTACAACTACTCTAAGGGTAGAGAGAATTGAAAAATGTTAGAATGAGTGAATTAGAAGAGTAGTATAGTTGGGTTGATGCTTTGTGATCATCACCCGACAGTCATGGGAATCGGGTTGATGCTCTGTGATCACCCCCCGAATAGCCATTAGAGATGGGGTTGATGCTTTGTGCGTCACCCGATAAGTAATAGAAACGGATGGATGCTTTGTGACCACCACCGGTTAGTTATTAGATAAGTAGGTTGATGCTTTGTGATCATCATCCGACATTTAGTAGAGTGGGTTGATGCTTTGGATCAGCACCCGACAGTGACTAGAGAGGGTTAATGCTTGGTGATCGTTACGCCAAGTCATGAGAAGCGGGTAGATGCTAGGTGGTCTCCACCCGATAGTTAAGAAAACTGAGTGGTGCTTTGTGATCCTCATTCGGTAGTCACTAAGAACGGGTTGGTAGTGTGAATTCCACCCGATAGTCATGGAGAGTGAGATGGTGCTGTGTGAACACCATCCGGCCGTACCTCCGGTAAGATGAGGCCATGATGTTTAGTGGAAACGAAATAGAAACGAAATAGTATAAGAAAGAATTAAGCGTTTACATCGGGGAAGACAGATAGAGGGTTTTACTTACTGACATTATTTGTGCTCACCCCGTTATTTTCCTTTGTGGATGCAGGTCTGGTGTTGATGCAGTCGGAGGGGCATCGGCAAGCGAGGAGCAATAGCTACACTGTTTCCCCTGTTTTGTCTTTTAAAAATGAATCTTTTGTAAACAGTA